AATAAACAAATTATGTAAGAATTAAAGAGACCAAAATGGAATGCTGAGAGGATTTTAACTTCTGCATTTTTTAAGGTGCAACTTAAACATCAGATGTGGGATGATTCTGATGTAATTTCAGCTTTATAGAAGTGAGAAGCAGTAAACTGAGTTGGATTTTTTGGTTGAATTTATAGATCCTATGCACTTAAAAACTTTTATGTAGCTTCTTTCACACTTTCTAACCTGAAAAGCCGTTCTAAGCCATTTCAACAGCATCACAAAATATTTTTGAATCATCTTGCAATTATCTGAGCAATATGTTCATTCTTCTTCTAGGTTATGGGAAAATCATGTCTGTCAAAACCCTGCTTTTTGGAATTTCCACCTTTCCTGTCAGACTGAGCCTAAAAATATGATTTCAATAATTTATGATAATAGAGAATCTGGCCTAATCTATTTTTCTTATACATAGAGTAGAGTCTTTATGTCATTTATGTTGTGGTCTTTCCTTAAAGCTTTTTGCAAATAAGTGTCCCAGGGCAGGGAAAAGAATGGGTTAAGCTGAAGGGAACCATCTGTTTCCATTTCAAGTATTACTTTAAAGATTTGAAAACTTTGTAAATGTCACGGTTTTCTTTTTGTGGCCCTTAGCTGAATGGGAGATGTCATCAGATGACAATGAGCTTCAAGCTGGTTTCCTATTACTTTTGACAGGTTGTTCATTAAGCTATAATAAATTGATAGAACTGAGGGCTGTAAAAGGTCTGTGACTTTTTTCCAAATATGTACTCTGTCTCGACTTGAAGGTCTTAGTACTTCATCACTCTTGCAGTTGAAAATTAGTTGAGTTTCCAATTTGAATGTGTTCAACTTGACCTGTATTCCCTTGCTTCCTGGTTTTCCTGGAATGGCTCAGCATCCTTGTAGGTCTCTTCTTGAAAAGGTAGGCAATGTGACTTAAATTTACTCATGGTTGTATCTTCAGTTTTGTGCCATGACTTTCCATATGTGGGCACCAGAACTGGAAGCATCATTTCCATTTCAGTGCTATCAATAAATGCCCTGAAGTTTTCCCAGGTTCATATACTGAAGGAATATAATAACCTTCCTTGCGTCTTTATAGCATTGAGAATAATGATAAGATAATTCTGTTTATCATTTATTTGTCCATTTTAACTCCAGATTAATTTAAAGTTATTGCTTTGACAATATACCTTTCACTCTGCAGGCATGATTTGCACTTTTTTTTCTATGGGTATAATGTGAATGTGATTTTATTAAAATATTTTGTGGGCTTAATTGTTTTATGTGCTGAATTACTTCAGATCATTCTATATAACTCTTCCATCTTTGCCCTTTATCATCCCACCTGTTTTTGTCAGCTGTAATTGTTCTAAGATTGCATTAGCCTTATTTCAAAATCGTTTATGAAAATGTTCTATATTACAAATTCCTAAGGGTTCATATTAAAATTACTTGAGTTCCATAGTGTTTCTCCTTTCATGACTATTTCTAGGTGTTCGTGGGCCACTTTTTAGTTCACTTATTATGTGCTTTATTAATAAGCATAGTGTTGATTTTTAGATCATATGATCAGTTGGTTATGCGTAAGTCAAATACCCTATAAAAGTTTAAATATATCCTCACAGATATCTTTCTTTAAAGAAAATCTTGACCTCATCACATATGTAAATACGATTTGGTCCATAAGGTCTGCTTTCTATAAAGTCATCATCCCTGGCTGTAATTATATCCCAACATTGGACTTAAATGAGAACTTTTCCATGTTAAATTGTAATCATGCTGAGTGTTTTACCTGCTTTTCCTAAATGTATAGGCACCAATTAGCAATCTTCTGAATTTGTTAAAAATATATAGCAGAGGCAGTTACCTCGTTAGGAAGCTGTAGCCTGTCACTGAAGTGAAAGAAAAATTTTGAGCATGTTGTCAAAATATTTTATATTTTAAAAGGCTAATCTGGAGAAATTATTTTTGTCACGAGACCATTTTTAATACTGTTTTCACTGGAAGAAAAAATTAAATGAAGTACTATTAGTTAATAGTTAATGTGTTTGCTTAATATGAGCTTAATCAAAGCATCTCCTCCTCTCAATGAAATCCTTTGTCTCATGTAAATAAAGCAAATTAAATATAATTTATATCAAATCACTAGTTAAAGCACCATGACAAGACAGGAGGCAGGAGGATGATATAATTATTGGTTTTGTCCACATTTTAATGCCCCTTAGAAGTCAGACCAACCTGTGTATGATTGAAATTCAGAGCATGTGTCCTTGGTTCAAGGACAGACTGAGCATCTGGCAAGAGTGGCAAGCTCATTCTTTGTATTGGCAGAAAATAAAGCTGAATCTAAAAGCTTTAATCAGATAGTGGCACGGAAATTCAGCACCTTATGGGTGAGAAGAAAGAGACAGAAGAGAGACATCATCAGAGGTGACTGAGAGGCAGCCTGGAGCTCAGTGGAATGCCCAGTCCCCAGAGACAGCTGCAATCGAGCTGCAGCTGTCACATGAGTGAAGGAATTATCTAAACTAAGAGATTTGGTGCCTTATCAAGATAAAATAGATCACCAATGGGAAATCCTTAAACAAACAAGACCAGAGGCAAAGGAAGAGCATGGCAGAAGCATGTGTGGGGAGGATGAACCCAGAGCTCCTCCAGATCTGGAAAGGTAAGACTATGAATCACAGGTTTCATTTTGTGGTAACAGAAAATTAGTCTGGCTAAAATTCTTGATGGAAGCTTGCCAGCAGGAAGGGAAACAACCATACCCAGGTCACCTGTGTTCACCAGAACAAGGGGAAAGCTCTGATGGTGGTAGGCTGTGTACTTTGAATGCCAGGATGTGGACATGTGTATGTAGATGTCATGCTGGCATCAGGAAATGGTGTTCCCTAAAGCAGAGAGCCCACAGCAGAAAAGAGGGAATGATCAAAGTCTGTGCTATATAATATCACTCTACATTTTACTTTATCTTCTGTGTTGCTCTATGTTCTAGGAGTGAGCAGACATACTTCTGTATGCCAATAATTATGATGTTTTTGATGATAAATTCTTCAAGGGCAACCATGCTCAACTTGAGAAATACATAGTTTTTCATGATTTATTAAAATATCCTGTTTCACTCATATGCACCTGTTTACTCTCTTTTTGTAACAATGGGGTCAAGAAGCAATCTTCAGAACTGTTGTGACAGTAGGGGAGTACCTTAATTTATTGCTAGATGAGGCTGGCAGATAACTCCTTCTTCACTGGGAGCAAGGGGAAAGCAGGAAAGGATAAGCATTTAGATGCTTCCAGAGCTAATCTTCTAAAACTTGAAGCATGAAAGCAGTTAAACTCACTTCTGTCTTGTTTGATCACAATTGAAATAACTCTGAAATAATTAAAAGGAGCATATTTTTTTTCAACCTGAAGCATTGATAGAGCAGCACCCAAAAAAAGAAAGGGCATCAAGCAGAGAACATGAGCAGCAGTATCAGAATCAGAACAAGATATTTTTTTCTCAGAATTTTGTTGTATTTCCTCTACACTGCTTATTAGATAGCAATGAGTATGTTATAAGGGTTATCATGGTATCCATGTACACTATTACTTTCTGAATGTTTGATCTTATTTAATTGCCATCAGATGACATTGTCTCTAGAACTGCTTCACAGTTAATTGTGCAGAGGGAGATAAGAGGATGCCACAAATATCTAGCAATATCAAATACACCTACAATTTAACAAAGATCAGTACAGTCTGTGAGCAGATTCTAGTTTACATTTTTGTGCCATTATTTCATTGCAAAATGACCCCATATGTTACATTATGTTTACCTAGTTAACAACAGGAGAAAAAAGTCATCACTATGCAATATACTTGTGGAACTAAGGTAGTGAAAAAAGAAGCAAAATAACCTTTGTTTTTAATTTACTTTAAGCCAAAATTTATTTTGTTTCCTTATTTTCCAGCTTGCATTTTTAATTCAAATGACAACAAAAATCATGCAGGGACAATAAGCTTTGTTAATCAGAAATGCAAAATAATATTTTGAAGTCATATAAGAAGCTTCAAACAAATATTTGAAAATAATTTTGTTTGTGCTCTTCTTTCTACCTTACCAGTTTGGGACACAAGACAGAGGCCCTTTGAAGTCCATTTCAAAATGAGATTTGCAGTGCTTTGTTTGGTATCTAAGAGTCATTGGCTTTGATAGAAGACCCCGCTTCAACAAATGACATTTGTTTCACTAAATAAATGATGTGCTTTCCTTATTTACAGAACTTCTGTCCTTAAATACTTTGAAGAGTTGTGCTGATAAAGTTAATGTATTACTCCCTGGAATCTTTGGATATTCTTATGCAATGAAATAATTTCAACAGATGGTTAGTGTACAACCTCAGAATTCCAGCGGATGTCAGCAAGATGTGCTTGACTAGGTTTATCCTTGAGGAATCACATATTGCCAGGTAAGAAATGGGTCTGTGTACTCTACCCACTTCTGGCATTCCTCTCAACAGTTTATGTATGACCAGGATACTTTTGCAGTACCAGAACTATTTTGAGTCACTGTTTTATTGTGAATGAATTTTTTCACTAGAAGTTATTATTTTATGTGCTCTTCAAGCACATGTACTTTTATCCTGCATGTTTTACAAATACAAAGGAAATCTGCAATATTCATGATATTTGCAGGTAAGATGAAATTTGAAAGAGAGAAATAGTCAAACAGGAAAATGAGAGCAATTAAAAATGCCTGCAGAAGACAGAAAGGAGTTAATTCTATATGGTCAAACTCTAGAGAAAAAATAAATAGACCAAACAATGAAAAAGTCAGTGGTAGGAAGAAAGTTTATATTAAACACTGGATGGCAGACTTACAAGTCCAGTTATTTTATGATTAAATATCTCTAATGGTTTTTGTAGCAGCACTCGTCCAAATTCAAAATATTAGAGAAATTATCCTCACAATACATTTTTATAACACCATGACATTATTTTATAGATTTTACAGCTGAGAAGCTGGTACACATGTAGATGTAGCCTTCACAGAGCAAAACATTCTCAAGAGAAGCAATTTTCTGGCTTATACCAGACAAGCTCAAGAGGCATTCACCAAGTGAGGACATGGGAACTTCTTCCAGACTGAAGCCAGAGAGGTCCTCTTTCCACATCAGGAAAAGAAGTTGTGCTGCTTTAGTGCTGATATGAATTTTAACACTAGAATTGTTCAGTTTAACTAAAAAGAAAGAAAGAAATGGAGTTTATAGTGAGTTTACATTATGGGCAGAAAGGACTTTTTATATGTCTCCACTAGTAAAATGCATGGATTGAGAAGATATGCCTGCTTTTTTTGTGACTTTTTGGGCTCAGAAAACTTTGGGTTTCAGTTCTGGACATGACAATATCAAAAATAAGCAGACTGTTTTTCAGTAACTACAGCAAAAAAAAAAAAAAAAGGTCCGGAATTAGCAAAAGAGATGAAAAATATTTATGCTAAGAATACTTGGTGATAATTAGCACTTAAATTAAAGATATGTTTCAAATTGTTAACATCCAGCATCCTCTTTGCAATGTTGGTTTATTTGTGTCAAATAACACTTTATTGCTAGTGCTATTCAGTTTCAGTAGGATTGCCTTAGCCTTCAAGGTAGCCAAGATTTCTGCTGCAAAGGTTGCAGGAAAGGCATTTACCCATGGAGGAGACAATGGCTTTTTGTCTAGAGCACTTTTAGGGTTCATGGATGTGACCCAACCTGGTATGCTCATTCTGCAGCAGAAACTTGAATCAAAATTAGCTTTGTTCAGTAAGTGGAGTGTCTGAGTCATCTGTCTACAGGTAATCTTTCAGTCCTTCTTCTTGGCATTTTTCTACTTTATATTAAAAATGTACAGTTAATTTTCAATATTGTTTTACCTCTGTGGAATTAGAAAGGAAATCATCTACTGTTCTTTTGTCCTCCACAAGATCTAAATTTAATTTGCTCTATTTTAGACCTACTTGTAAGAAATCAAATAAATTAATTTGTAAGAATTAAACAAAAGAATGTTTAAAACTTAAAAAAAAAAAAAATAAAAGACCTGACTGCTGATTAACATTTTAATATTCATTCCCACTTTCTTCTGCTTGCTGGGACCATTTTGTCACTGCAGAGGACAGGATCTAATACTTACCTGACATGCCATGCTCTCCCTTGCTCCCTCCCTCTGCAAGAGCATTGGGCTGCAATTCTGACCATGGTTTAGGACTGGACTGTTGCTGTGCCTCATAGTGATATGGAGAGAAATGTGTGAAACAGGCTGTGTTGTGCCCCAGGCACTGCTCAGGAGCACAAACTGCACTATCCCAGAGCAGCCCCATAGCAGATCTTTCTTGCCCAGAAGCTGCTCCCTCTCCTCCAGGAACCTGTCTCAGCAAGGAGGGTCCTGGGCAGCACTCCTGCCAGCACTGCTTGTGTTGTGCAGGGACAGTCATTATTGTCTGTTTGCTTTCTCAGTCTTATTTCAAAATCTTTTGTTGCTTTAAAGACAGGCAAAGGAATAGGATAAAAGTCTTCACCAGATGGCAGCCTCACTGATGAGAAGGTGCTGACTTTTCTCACTTTGTGATTTGTTGAAGCTTCCTACTCTTGCTGTTTTAATTTCACTTTGTTGGCTTGTTCCCAGTGAACCTGTTTTCCCCATATGTGAATATTCTTTTTTTCTAATCCGAGGTAACACTGCTGGCAAATGTCCTTGGATATAAAGTGCTCCTTTCTTTTTGTCTTGTGATCAATAGCACTTGTTTTTTTTTCTATGTCAAACATATCTTTACATGTGGTCCAACAACGGGCCAACATAAAAGCATCATGTTATTTGACCACTTTTTCTTGTGTCTAAATGGATGCTCAAGGATTTTTCTTTGTATCTAAGGCAAAGAAAGTAAGGTAAGTTTAGGTCATGTCTCTTGGGTTTCCAAGACCTCAAGATAATGTGTTCCCATATTCCTGAGATTAATTTTTCACCTGTTTTCCTACACAACTTGGCTATTGCCACATGACAGGTATGCATCGTAATGTGTATTTATTTATACAAATGTATAGTGTACAAATTTATACAAATGTATTAGTGTATTTATTTATACAAATAAAGGGAAAAGAAATTGAAGTTTATCCCATTGTATATAGAATGAGGGAAAACACAGAGAAAGTAAACACTGGTTTGCCATAGATATTTGTCTTTTGCAGGACTGAACTTCTAGATCACCTCTTGCCATGTAAAGAGGTGATTAGTACAGTGAAAAATATCCAAGGAGAGGCAGGCTAGCTATGCTTGTGTTACTAAACAAGTGTGCAAGGGCCTTGAGAGTGGCTTTGATGAAAATGACATGGCACTTTTTGCATCCAGCTTTTCCCCCTCCCCAAAGTGGCATCACCTGTTTTGTAACCTGGACATTTCCTGTGAGATTCATAGTTAAGCATAGGACAAAGCTGCACTAGGGAAGCCAAAGGTTTAGCAATATCGGCAAACATGGCAAACTCAGTCTGGCTTTTATTTTTTATTATTATAGCTGTAGCCTCAAACCCAACTGAATGAACTTAGACCAGATGGAGTGTGGCTTAAAAGCACTGAAGATGCCCAGACAGAAACCAATGGATTCATTCACATTGTAACTTGGCTAAAGTCCTGCTTAAGTTTTTCTGCTTAAGTCTTGTTTCTCCTTCCATAAGGAGAAAAGGCCTCTTAGAATAGCTATTAACCCTCTCCCTGGGGAAATTCCCAGAAGTTTAGGCTTGGTCCAGCGTCTTCCTGGACTGACTAATTTGGAAGAAATACTTGAACCCACATCTGCTTCCAGTTCAGAGGAAGGAGATGAAGAGTTCTTTGTCTGAAGGTCGTGGTTTGGAGCCATTCTACTTTGTATTAAACAATCATCCCATGACATGAGAAGGTGAGAAAATAAGAGAACAGACAGTATTTGCAAGAAGTGTGGTGAGCCTGCTTAGTGGTGGATCTGCAGCTGATGCACGGTGACTGATCCTGTCTGTGTTTGCAGTCAGTTGTGATACACAGTAAATCAATAATAAAGATGATTTGTGCTCCTCCTTTTGATGTGAGTTTGGGAGTTTACAACTGGGTGATTGTAGAACTGGTTGTCAACATGAATGTTCTTCTCTTCTCAATAAAAATGGATGTGGGAAATGGAACCATTCCTGAAGCCATGCCCTATTGATATTGGTGTCTTGTGATCAGGAGCTTATTTTGCTGGGTCACTGTGCACATCTGTCTGAATCCTCATCCGGAGGGGAAAAAAAATACATTTATATGTCCATATTTATATATAAATAATCAAGGAATAGATTTTCTGACTTCACAGACCTCTGCACATTAACCAATATTTCTGAAATTATTCTTTCTTTTGTTTCATTTAAGCAACTTCTGCAGACATTTAATGTGGAAAAAATAAAGAGGTTGAGAGATGTGTTTTCTTTTTCTCATTAATTCTGTTAGACACATAAGGACTGTAGATTAATTAACACATTGATTTAGAGTAAATATAAATTAGCCTCATAATTTCTCACGTGAAAGCTTGGGGAATAAAAGCTTGATAATAGTGCTAGAAAAATGTTTTGATTTTCCATGGATGTAAATTTTATGGTCAAGGAATGGGAAGGAAAGGAGGGTTATACATCAAGCACTGACATTCTCTTTCATCTAACAGATTTCATCTTTCTAGCTTTCAACATCAAGAGCTAAAGACAGATCCTAATGACTGTGATTAAGATATGCCCTCTTATATCAGGGCTCAACGTTATGCCTGGTTATTTGAAGGGGAATAATAAACACCACAAAGCTGTATTTTACTTGGCTAGAGCTCTTCTTGTATTAACCAACACACTGCAGAAAAGTTATGGGATAATGAAATTTTATAAGAGGACTTATAAACATAAAATGAGTGTAAATTACTGAAAATTTATGGGTCATTTATTCAACTACTGTAGTAGTATTCTGGCTAGATCAAACATTTGGCTAGTGGACTAGAATTTTTTTTTTTTAGATGAAAGAAATCAATAAGAAATAGTATTGTCCTCAGACCTGTAGCCAGCCTGACCTCTGTCTCTTGTAGATTCTTCTGTTCAGCTATAAAAGTGTCATGGGGCTATTTCCTGAGCCCACAGAAAATCGATTTGCTTCAGTGCAATCAAGAAGGACCAGCAATATATTACTAGAAGTAATATTTAACTAGTGTATTAAATCACCACCTGTTAATTAAAATGAGACTTAAGGGGACCTATACCTGGAAGATTAGATCATAAAATCTGGTTTCTAAATACTTAAATATTTAAAACATCTCAGTGAAAGCTGCAGTTAGGATGGAATTCTCTTGGGAAAAAAATGCTCAGCCTTGCTCATTGGTGATTTCCAGCATCTAAGCATATTTTCAAGATATAAGTCTGAAAACGTAACAGCAGAACTTTTGATCAGAATTTAAGAGGGACAAACTGAGTTCAAACTAAAGAACTGTCTTGCTCAGACTGTGGTTCTAACAGATTCTTGGGGGAGGAGAGAAATAAACAGGGCAGGTATTTCCCTGTTCTGTCCTGCATCTTGCACACATCCTAACATGTCCCAAAGCCATGTATTTCTAGCAGTTAGTACCTTTATCTGCTAACTGTAGTGGATACAGAGCTTATGGAGTTTGCAAAGCCCTTTGTGTGGATTTACAGCAGAAAAACAAAACAATCTTCATTTCTTTTCATCTTCCTTCAAAGAAAGATACTCCATTCCTTTTCTTGCTTTACTCTCTCAGCACCTGCCACCTTCCTCATTAGATATTCAGGTGAAGCGATCGGAAAGACTTTGGCTGAGATCCTTCTGCTTCCTTCTGCCAGGAAGAAATTCACTGAATCATGTCCCAGATCGTGTTGGATTTGAATATCACCCTTGACAGACAGATGAGCAGAGCCTTATCACAGCACTGCTCCTGCCTGGGGGCTGATGAGGTGATGGGACTGTGACAGGGAATCTTCTGGGACTGCATTATCCAGGTGCAGAGCATCCATGTGTCCTAAGTGTGATGGAATGAAAACTCCAGAGGGAATTTGTATTGCAGATTGTGTAAACAGGCAATTCCAAGGCCATAAAAAATAAAATTATCTATGATACAGCACTTGGAGACCTAAACTCTAGGGTACAACTTGTGCCTATCCACTCTGAAACTTCTCATGTACTTCAGAGAGTCAAAAAAGTGAGTGTGCTCTAGTGCATACAGATGAAGCCATGTAAATCTCTGCCCTCACAGACAAAACTGTAGTCCTGCAGTCCGAGCTAAAGCCATATATTTAAAAGAAGGGAAGGTTCTCTTCTTGTCCTAGCCTTTTTCCTGATACACTTTGGTGAAGTTAAATACAGCTCTGGAGCCAAATGAAATAAATTTTTTGTGAGAATGAATAAGGATGTATGGAGAGAAAAATATTTTTATTTGTCTATTCAAGTCTTGTATAAACTCTCCTAAAAGTTGAATTTGATTAAATGTCAAAACCAATTCGCTTGGGATCAGAAACTCTACATTTTGAAGGAAGTTCATGTCAGGATAAACCTCCTTTCAAAATATTGTTACAAGCCTAGCACAAAGGTTCAAGTTGATTCCCCTTCTCCTGGACTTATTCCAGTTTGAATGAACAGGACCTGGTGGCTGCTCTCTAACTACTCCCAGGCAGTCTTTCCTAGCAGGAGAACACTGTTGAAAATGTCACAGCTAATCATAATATTTAAAATCACTGGCACTATTAAACATGCAGCGTTTGTTAAGGAACATTAAAGAACAGCAATAAATGGTTTTCTGTGTAGTTTGAGATCTGGCTGTACCAGAAACAAAATATTTGCCACATCAAGAGCTTTTAATGATTGAATACAGACCAGAAGTAAACATGCCTAACGCAAATAATTTGTTGGTCAGATGTGAAAGCTCGGACTAGCCTTAGGTCTGTTCACTGTTGGAGATCAGGATCTTTCAGTGCTTCTTTGCCTTTTCCTCCCCTCCCAGACTCTTATCCAGACTGTTTTCCCAAGGTCTGCCAGAGCAGCCCTCGTCTTTCCTGCTGGATTTGTCCCCAGACAGTGATGCAATGAAAATGTTGTTGATGCCCTGTTGTGTAAAGGTGGCTCTCCAAGCCCCTCCTGTGGGGCCCAGGATGAAGCCCAGTGGCAAACTGGCTGCCCTGGTAGTGCTGGCTCCCTCTCACTTCCACCTTCTGCTGAGAGGCCAAAAAGCATCTCAGAGTATGTTGCTAAGAACAGTTTTTTATTTCTTCACAAGAACCTAACGAAAATGGATAATGAGGTTCATTAAACTGGACAGTGGTTCTAGGGATTCAGCAGGGTTAATTGCCGTTTATAGTGATTAGCATAAGAACTAGCTCCCCTAAATTCCTTTTGCAAGGAGTGGAGAGCAGTAAGCACTTTACAGGGAGGGTTCTGCAGTCTGGTTAAGGT